CAGGTAAGGGAGGGGATGGGGGACTAAACCTGTCTTACGGGTGTGCCTCTCTCACCTGTTGAATCATGCCACCATGGTGCACTCATCACCATCTTTTTTCTGTGTACACATTCAAAACAATTTATGATGTCGCAAAGCAGATGGCTTTGCTGTAACACATGAATGAAGAAACGTGTATATGACTTAGGTTTTACACAACTGAAGCTGAACAACTACACCGCTCTATTTCCTTCCACTCTTTACTTCAGGCTGACATGTCTTCAGGGGGAGGGCCACTGCTAAAAGTCAAACAATTGTCAGATCACAGTGAAGTCTTTCCATTATACACTCATCAGTCACACACAAGCAGCAACAAAGGGCAGCTGACCTCAGATGAGACATGCCTGGGGACAACATGACATGAAGGACACGTTAGTGCTTCATCCTTCACGGTTGGCCTGCCCTCCGGTTTGGCCAACCTCTGGACTGTTGGTACTGTATATGAACAGTGTGTACTTGTGTTAACTTGAAGATTGGTTCACCCTGAGTTGTTTTCGTTCTCTCTGTTCTCAGTTGGCAATGGTTAGGCTGTTCCATGTTCAGCTGAGGCCTAAGGGAGTGATGGCAGCTGAGTAGCAGCCATGGGGGAAGCACGATGTCAGTCCTGTGATAGCTGTATGAGATTCCACATGCTCTGATGAGTAATTTCTCCCTTCCTTCTCCCTAACCATGTGGTTCATGGCTCGTCTCTTCTAGTCTCTCTCTTCTCTCTCTCTCTCTTTCTCTCTGTGTCTCTCCCTCTCCCTCTCTCTCTATTAGACTCTTTCTCTCTCCCTTCTTCCCTCCCTCTCTCTGTCTTTCTCATCCCCTCTCTCATACCTAGTCATAAAGAAGATTCTAAATTCCTTTCTTCAGCAGTGGTCGTCCTACAGGGAAACTGAACAAAATAGCCTTTTTGGATGAGTCATTCAGCAACATCAACAGCCCCACTCCACACCACTCACTCTCCAGCCACGCCAGTCCAGCTCACACCACACCCAGGCCTGGTTCTTTATACTCTGGCTTTTTTGTCTTTATGTCTCTGTTGTCCAAACTGCAGAGTGTCCACCTGTCTGCCCTGTTGCTGTCTTCTCTGTCTCTCTGTATGTCTGTCTCTTTAACACATTTTTATTATTCTTAACCTCTGTCCATACTCCCTCGTGTCTGTCTGTATTTCTACAAACACGTGCTGTCTATCTACACAGCCTGACCTGCCTGTCTGTGTAATTTGTTAGTCTTTCCTCCTGTCTGCCTCGGCCTTTTAGTCCATCCACTGACACACAAGGTCAGAATAATGAAGGACACTCAGAGCCCCTGTCTGCGTTTCAGCTGCCAATAAGACTACAGCTTGACAAACCTGGGCAGAGAACAGATACAGTCACAGTATGAATCAAAGGCCTAACAGAGATAAACATTGTTTGTAATTCTCAAATCTCAGACACAATAGATAACATTTCCCAGTTTCTACATCTCTCTTCTGGCAGTCGTGTAGAAATATAAAAGTGTTATCCTTACATTCCAGCAGCTGCTCCAGACTTTATCTTCTTGCATTCATGGCAACTGTTATTCCATTAGTTATTATTGTTGTTAGCCTCTGACTTCTACTTCAGGTTCATCTGGTGGCACACACAGTACATAAACCTCCACTTGACACAGAGCACAAGCCAGTGTGTATACATGCGTGTGCATGTATGTGTTTAGTGGAAAATAATTGTCTACATGTGGTTCAGAGATCCTCTGCATGTTGCATCGTGGGATTCGTTGAGCATTGCAAGAGCAATAAGGATTTTTAGGGGCATTATGACTGGGTTAATAAAACACAGCTGCCCCTAAAAGTCCCTCACTTTTCTTGCTGCCTTTTCATTTTCTCTCTCTAACTCCATGGCTTAAGTTTTTGTACATCTTGTTTCAAACTTTTGGGGTATATTTATAAAGTTAGCCAGTAGAAAATGACCCTTGGTGCCAGTCATAGCTCGTGTCAAACAACATATTGTCCAAAACATTTATACTTTTTATGAATTGTCTTTTTATATTAGCAGTTTTATTGGTCCTGCAGTGATGTTTTACAGAGTGTTGACTGAGTTGAAAGCAGCAGTTTTGGATGTTTTTTTAAGTTCAGCTTACACAAAAAAACCCAAAACATAATCTAAGGTTTTAGGACACAGCAGAATGATCCATATGTACGACGATGACAAAAGTGCACAATGAAATGTAGGCACCGTCTATTTACAACCTGATACCAAATGTTCTGAGGAGAGAATATACGACGGGATAAAAGATGTAAGCAACATATTGCAGCAAGAAATATGATGAGTCCAAATGGACCTTTTAAAGAAAAGGGGAATGCCACCGAGTGAAGGTTGGCAGGCAGCAGCCAGTACTGTTAATATCACTGCTTTCATCAGCACATCTTGCTGGCTATCCCACAGTTTGCTGTAGATACATATTTAAACCAGCCTTAGTCTCTGTCTCCTGCAGCACATATAAACTTTAGCTCTAAATTGGTTTCGTAGCTATTTCATCCTTAGCCTCCTATAGATATTCATGGGCCATGCAGGTGGGAGTGATCAATAGCCTTTGACTACATGTCATCAGTATGTGTAGCATGGATAACATTTTATATGTTCTCAAAATCCAAAATGTCAGATTAAACTACATGATCACTGGGCTGTGATGGGTGAAGAGCTGTTTTTACAGTTATCATAAAGATATAATCAGCTGCAGGCAGCGAGGCTTGTGTCAAGTGTGTGTCAACTCTCCTCCAACTTCAGTCCAAGTCAATATGTTTAGAAGAACCGGCAGGCATGTAAAAACAAATGACTTGACAGTGATCTGTAAAACCCCACAGCTGACTCATTATCAGGTGCTAACTTTGTCTAAGGACAAATTATTTATGTTACGTGGACTCACGCCCTCTGTGATGTCAGGAAAGTGATTCCTTTACACGGCTGTTTTAGGAATGTTATAATAACCCGAGAGGCTTTGTGTCTTTAAAATAAATAACTATCATGCTGTGGTGAATATCTCAGCTTCGTGTCACTTGCAGCATGGGGATGTCACCTCAGCTTTTCCATTCCTTTAATTATATAAAGCATCTCGTGTCAGGATGCAAAATTAATTAGTGAAGTGTATTTATGGCCTGTTAGGGTCAGGACAGATTAGAAAGTGCACTGCAGAGCACCCTTTCCCTCACTTCACACATTTGCTCAACATTAGAGAGAACGGTACCATTTTTGACAACTGTTGATGGTGTAGAGGTCGGGTTACAAGAAGCTACTGCAGTTTGTTGGGATTGAAGACAGTTTAAGTATGTGATCTCTGAGGAGATCTCTGAAATATACAGTAGTAGTTTATTCACGTTGATAATAATATCATGGCACTATGTTTTTATTTAAAAAATAAAGTTTAAAAGCAGCCACACAAACAGGGAAGTGCAGCAGAGTTTTTTAGCTTTCTGTTTTTGAGTTAATCAACACTGCATGTTTGAAAGAAAGTTTTTCTGTGTCCCACACCCTCTCCTAGCTGTTAACAACTGGGCTGCTTAATGCAACTATTTTAGTGGACCCTCAGTTGACAGCATCTTTTGAAAATCCAATTCAAATTCAAATTCTCTAACAACGTGCTAAATACTCTCTGTTTTTTAATAGATGTTTATACTGGCACAGGCCCCGCGGACAAGCAGCCTATAAAGAAGAATAAGCATTGACTCACTCTTTCTTCTTTCTTTTTTGTTTTAAAAATGCCAAAGTTTCCCTGAAAAGCCTAGATCTTTAAAATACAATGATCTCTGTGGATATTTATTTATATATGTGTATTTATATGCTTGTATATGTTTATATATACGTATGTATGTATGCATCTATGCGAGTTTCAAATATATATTCAGCATATATAAAAACCATCGTTCGACACATCGTGGTTTTAATGTGAGGTGTACCACTCAGTACTATGGCGACTTTTAAATAGGGCAGCGAAGTGTGCAGACTAATTCGGTGGTCACATGAGCCAGAAACTGGGACTTTGTAGGCCAGTTGAATTAATTAAGGACTCACCTTGCCCGCAAAGACCCAACCTCTGACGCACCATCATCATCAGTCGCTCCTACAGCTGGGCGCCTTAGGTGGAGGAAACCCCCAGACTCTACCTCTGCCTACCAGAAGTTTCTATTTGTACGCCAAACATTTTACTTGAAGACCAGGTGTGGTCGTCGGTGTGAGCGGTTTCAACTGTAAACATTCCTATACATACCCTCTCCTCCCGGGCAGGTGTCTGCAGCGTTCCGTAGACACACGGTGACCTGCGTAAAACGCGCCCCGATTGTCTGTCTGGTTGGCTGTCTGGAGAAAATCGCGTCTACCACCAGTACCACTGCCTCACCAGTGCGGTCTGATCACATGGCGTGGCACACATGCCAATTTAAGCAATATTTTCCCTTTAGGGTGGTGAAGTGTCTTTGAAAAATCGGTTAATCGGTCTTGTCTTCCGTTCCCCCTGGAGATGAAACAGCGTCGTAGCTTCAATCAGTCTTCTCACTCGCCCTTTAAAGCAAACATTCTGTGTTCTCCACGGAGATGTCCCCGGTGCGTCCCGAGCACCCAGGCTTCCACCCTATATCCTCTCTGGATAGAAGCGACAGGAAGACCGGGCTGTCTGACAGGAGACACCGGTCCACTGCCTGTGCCTTGCTGCAGCCTCGATAATGTGAACAGAATATTCCCAAACTGCTGAAAGGAGAAGAAGATATATGTTGCTACGCCCTCGTGTTGGGCCCTCCCCAAAATGGACCGGCGCTAAGTGGCAACCTGGTTATTTTCAGAGCGTCACTGGCCCGTCTCCAAATAGCCTATAGGTTTCCGTCGGGAGCGCAGAGATCCCATGTCCCCAAATATTGGGAAAGAACGGACACGTTTCAGAAACGGCAAAGAGCATTGCATGGAGAAACATCCCAGCAGAAGTGTTTTGCCCCTAACGGCACACATTCTTGTGGCTTTGGTTTGTATGTTCTTTTTCGGGTCGACCAGACCCGTGATGCGCGATAGGCGGCGGCACCAGGAGACTCGCCCGCAGTTCTCTGGAGGTGTTTCCCCCAGTATCGCTGCTGGTGGGGAGTTGTATTCATCCCAGGTTCATCTCACCTCTCCTGTTACCCACCTCACAAACCTGCAACATGTTAGTATGCTGCGACCCCTGCTGGCAGGTAAGAGGCACATCTATCTATCTTTCTGTCTGTCTGTCACCGGTTTATGGATTCTGGATCTTGAAGTGTTAGCGTATGTGTTCTGTTCGTGGTTTCTCCCACCAGATTGATGAAATTCCGTTTCATCAATTCCATGTGGTACGTTATTATCATGCACACTGTTATTATGTTTTAGGTGCACCTTGTTCCGTCTAATATGGTAGACCGTAGGCCTCTGTGAAGTCTCATGTACAACTTTTCGAGTTTCAAGCCGCTAACAGGCCTTCCTAATATCAGCCACCACATTTCCTGTTAATATTCCATGAATATACTACAGTGAACATGATCTTAAAAATCAAATAAATAAACATTATATATATTTTAATCAATCAATGTATTTATTGTAGTATTTATCAACCATAATCCAAAGCTAAAGTATACCACCCTGGCCGTAAATAGGATGACACGTTATTGTTGAGAGTTAATGACCACTCCAGATATAATCATAAAATGATATGGGTTATTTTAACAAACACTTAAATGCTGACAATGATTCCCTTAGTTTCCCATTACACTAATACTACACATAATTGGTTGTATTAAGAGGGCTAAAAAAAACCTACTCGCTCTCCTAGCATGTAGCAAAGATACGATAAACCTTAAAATAAATAAATATAATATATATAAATTATAAAATTTGAATTAATAGTAAATGAACAGCTGTTTCTGTTGACAAATTCAAGGAAAGAATCTTAGTTATTTATTCCACTGTCATGTCACTACAATTGAAGTCAATAGATTAACTTCTCTATACAAATCAGTGATTATTATTGTTGACGCCTATTATCATAAAAACCGACATCAGCATAACTTGTTTAAATTTAAAATTGTGTATTGGTTCCGTCCTGACCGGTGTCCGTTCATCAAATCCTTCCCCCTCCCTGCTGTCGTCGCGTTGAAACCTGTTCAAGAGAGCAGTGAGCAGTCACTGAGGTTAGGCTACGGTTCCTTCAAAATAAATAAAAAATAATAATAAATATAAATAACAAATGTTATAATTTAACAAAAAAAATACAAGGCAGGCCTAAATAAATCAGATTTTAGGGACGGTGTGACCATTAATTAGACGTGACGATTGACATTTATAAAATGGAAAGTTACTTTTTCATTTAATCTAAAAATGTACAACGCTGGGAGAAATTACTAGGCTATGTACGACCTTTTAAGACCGGAATGTGAAAAATAGGTAAGAATAAGTGAAGGAAGATCTTTAAAGAAACAACGTGATTATTTGCTTTTTTATTTTATAATTTATTTTGCAATTTATTTTAAAGTTTCTACTGCTGTATTTTCTCTGGATGGATATACAGTAGTTATACATTGTGATACATATCAGTCATGTGTATAATATGGTATCCATTTATGCACATGTGTATGTATAATATGTGCTGAGTACTGCGACATATGTAATACACTAGCCTATATGCCCTCCGTTTCGGAGGTATAAAGTTAAGTGATTTTTATAAACGACGTTATTCATGTTGACGGTTTTATTTTGAAAGTTATGACCGGATGTGTTGTCTGTGGTCTAGGTTGGCTTGACATTACAATGGCAATGTCGGACTCTGGTAAATGACAGGAAAAATCTGGCTTCTCTTAAGCCACATTAAACTCAACAACAACAGCAGGACGGATGTTAATCATCATCAAGATCATCTCAGTCACAGCGGACGCCTGGAGGTGGGTCACCATCCGATTGTACAGTCCTACAGACTACACTGTGTTTTGTGTGAGGCGTCCTGTTCTTCAGCTGTGTGGGAGAGATCGTGCGTGCGTGTAGCTGATCAAATGTCACATCATGTGATCGATGTCATCCAGTGCCGAAGTGTTTGACCACATATTTGTCATGCTTTAATGACGTAAGCTGGTGTCGATGGAGCCAGACCGAGACAGAGAGCAACGTTATTATCTTTAAAAAACCAAACCTTTAGAGGTAGGCCGCCTAAGAACAAAGTTTTAGAGAAAACACACTCATATATATATTTTATTGAGAAAAAGTGAATATTAGTGAATCTTATCAAATCGATACATACTCATAATATGTAAAGGTTTAACAAATTTAAAGTGGTTATTTTAAATAATGTCTTTTATTTTATGTAAATCCTTTTTCGAGTCATGGTGGCAGCTGGAGCCAATCACAGCAGTCACTGGACAAAGGCAGGTTCACCCACCCTGGGTGTTTCACCAGTGTATTACTGGAGGGATCTGTAATATAACTGTATCATATAATTATAATGAGGCTCATGGAAAGAGTCATCGAATGGAGGCAACAGCGAGACGCTCAGATCAGTGAGGGGCAGTTAGGGCCAAGTTCAGAGAAGGTCAGATGGAGTTGCTCTGTGTCTCTGTGGGTTTAGTTAAAGCTGATGACGGTTTCCTGTGGAGCAGCTGTGGAACCATGTAATAGAGTCAGCACGTGTGCAACACCAGTGGGGCTGTGTTTGGGTGTTCACAGATGGGTGAACGGTATCAGCCCACTTTTGTTGCTGTGATGATGGACTGGTTGACAGATGGTCCGTGAATGGACCCTGATGTTTGTAGATGACATACTTGACTGTGGTGAGAGCACGGAGCAGGTGCAAGGAAAACCTGCGGAGGTGGAGGCTTGAGACAAGAGACAAGAGGAATCCAGGTCAGCAGGAGCAAGACACAGTACATGTGTGTAAATGAGAGTGGGGGAAGTGGAAAGATAAAGCTACATGGAGCAGAGGTAGTAAAAGTACACGACTTATACAGTATTTGATGTCCCATTCCAGAGTAACAGCACAAACCAGGCAGGTAAAGGGAACAGAGAGGGTGGATTGGATAGAAACACCAACAAAACAAAAGGGAAGGTTTACAAGACCGTAGTGAGACCTGCTATGATATATGGTTTAGAGACAGTGGTTCTGTGTAGTTGACGCAAGTGTTTCTCACTAGAGATTTTCAAAAGGATGGACAGGAGTGAGTCAGATCAGAGGAACTGTCAGGGTGAATCGGTTTGGAGACAAAGTTGGACATGTGTTGAAGAGAGGGAGTTAATCTGTTGGAGATGTAGCTGTGAGACAAGGTGAAAAGTGGAAGACCTCAGAGAATGCTTATAGATGTAGTGAAACACAGGGGTGTTTGGTGTAACAGTAGAGGGGGCTGGTGATCCACTGTGGTGACTCCTGAAGAGAGCAGCCACAAGAAGAAGATAAGGCCAAGCATGAATGGGATTTTCAGTCCTCCTGCCTGGGTTGCTCATGTCTTAATGAGCCTTTTAAATATTAGTAACAATCTGGATGTAGGTAAACATAGATAAACATTGTTTAAATTGGCAGCAACATGTGGTGTTGACTAAAGACCAATCTGTTGTTATCTAGGTTCTCTGGTGACTCAATCATTAATAAGAGATAAGATTCATCTGTTTAATGCAGTTTCAAAAAATGAATGATTAACAAATGTCATTTGATGATTGATTGAACCCGTGGTCAATGTTTCAGGGTTCAGGCCTCGTCTCTGAAATAATGGTCACTCTCTTCTCTGGTGTTCTGTAGTGCATTGGTTCCAGTGAGCAGTGAATGCAGTGACCTCCCAGCGGGTGGCGCTCTCCATGGTTTCGGCCACCATGAAAGCAGCAGTGGATGCAGTATGGGCAGTGTGGAGCATCGTAGCCTCCATTTATGACTACATTCACACTAAAGCGATGGAAGAGCGCATCCACGCCCTGGAGCATGTCATCACCATTCACCAGTGTGTGATTGGGCTGCTGTCTGCTGGTATACTGGTGCTCTTCACTTACATCCTAATGAAGAAGGTCTGAATGGGTGACAGGAAGTCAGACTGCAGCGTTGCTCATGAAGGCGGACACAGAAGGGAAGTTCCTTCTTTGGATATTCCTGTACTGACGTACAAGAGCTGAAGGGTACTGGTATTTATTAATGGTTTGGTCAATATGGAGATTGTAGTGGGCCAACTGTACATGGGCACAAGGTCTGTTCACTGACAATTAAAATGTCATCTACTGTATATGCTTTTTCAAAAGGTACGTAGTAAAAATAAGTGCCTAATTAGGTGGAGCACAGGGTGTAGCTGTTAAGGCCAGTCCAAATAGTTATTCAGTCTGCTCTCAGTTTTCATCTGTAACTGACGTTCTTTTTCCAGTCCTGTGCGTTGAAATCGCTAAAATTTGTAACATGTCTGTTCATCCATCTTCCAAAGAAGGTTCGTCTTGACACCTGCCTTAAAACAGACTTTGTTTTACATTAAGTCTGATAATTATACATTATCAGACTTCTATAGCTTTGACGTACAGTGAAGAAATTCATTTGGACCACGTCTCTCTACGGCTCAGCATATCACCTACCTCCATCACGCCCTTCCACTTGCTTCTTTTCTTGCGCTGCAACCATTACCATGTCTTTCCTCACATTGTCCAGTGTACCATGTCTCCTCAACCTTCCAGCTGCGTTAATCTCTCCAAACCTCTTTAAATTTCAGTTGTCTGTTGGTGATGATGATTTGTTGATGCTGTCCACCCATGTCACTCCTCATGATATTGACATCATCTTTAACTCGTCCACCTCCAGCTCATCACAGTCTTTCATACGGTGCCGTCTCCAAACTCATTAGCGTCCTTTAAACATGCTATTTTACTGTTACTGACCCACATCTGTTGTCCACCCCCGGCCCTTTATCCTCTACCATAAAATTGCTTATTTTGTAACATTTTGTTGTGGTGTAAATCTAATGCAGGACTAGGATCAGACGTCTGCCATCACTGTCCATGTGTGAAATGTTTTTCATGCAGAGGTAATAAAACTGTTTACATTAAGGTATACCAAGTCTGGAGACTATTTCTCATCCACTTGGTATTATTGGAAAGTGAAGAGTTGTTGTGCCGTTTTTAAACTATTCCAAGCTGAGGTCTCCAACTCCTGGCTCTCGGCCCACTTCCAGCCGGCGAACCCCCCAGATCTGGTGAGTAATTCGATGTCAGAAATGATTTAATTTGGCTTGAGGGTTTTTCTCAACTTTTAAGTTTTGTTTGTTCTTTTAACCCTATTTTTACCTAAATATCAGAGGCTTTTTTTTATTCAACATCGATCATCGGCGCCCTAGTGGAATAACATTGATAACAGTGGCCCTCAGCTCACCTGAGTTCGACAGCACTGCTTTAAAAATCTGTACATGACAAGATTAGACGTAAAATAAGTTTCAATTGTCTCACAGGAAATTCAAGAGATCACAAAAATTAAAGCAGTTTTTCTATAATAATTTTAATTTTTTATAATGTCAAAATATGTCAAACTTTAGCATTTAACTGTATCCCTGGACTTTCCTCCCTCAGTGGGTCAAAGTTATAAACAACCACTACAAATCTGTGTCTAAACAGTTGAACGTGTCACATTTCTTTTTTTAATGAATTGATAACAGGAAACGTGAAAGATAAAGAGAAAAATCCCGAGCCGACAAGACAACACAGAACAGGGAAACACTCATAAGTGTCCGGTCTGCAGCAGAGTGTATTTGGAGGTGAATCTCTCCACGCTTTCACCTTCTAGAAACTTCATGGCTCGCCAGTGGATTTTGCCAGAGTTCTCGGGCTGACCACCTGGTCCCAGCTCCTCCTGGATGTACTGCAGCCACAAATCTGGAGGCAGCAGATATAAAAGGCGATGAGTTTCAAGGTGAGATAATCATTTTGTAACTGAATAATTAAATTTGACCAATGAATTAAATGTACTGCTGCAACAAATTCCTGTAACTTGGTTAAAACAATATTTATTAATGTAATATATCTTTTCTTTTCGTTCTATATTCAGTATGAGGATGAGAGACTGTCCCTTTGGCTTCGCTGCCTCCATGTGGAGGTGGACTGTCGTGGCCAGCAATGAATAAGTCAAGGTGGGCACAGTTCTTCTCCTACAGTGTGATGTGTGGTGTGATGTTGCATATTAATCATTTGATCGTGATGATGAACGGTCAGTGTTTGGAAGAAGGGAAGTTTCCAACTGGACTTCATCATGAGCAGCTGATCTTAGTTTCATGTCACAAGTTTCACTTCATGATGACACTTAATTCAGGTTATATAAGAAATACATATTAAATACATTATAGTTACAAATTGATGTCCACACTCCAGTATGGTGTGGATGTCATGTATAAACACATGGAATCTTTGCTTTTTTAAAACATTTTTTGATTATCTAATCAAGTTATTGAAATAATTAGGTAATTTTGTAATGTATTTTTTTACAAAGGGTAACAGGAGAGGGGAAAGATAATTTAACAAAGACCAGGCCCACGTGTTGAACAGTAAAGACTCACTTTCATCTGTTGTGCCGAACTCCTGCAAAGCCCTTTCATAGTAATCCCTCAGATAGTTCATCCTGGGTGTTTCCTAAAAAAAGACAAACAGTGAGCGCCAAAGAAAAAGGATCTAACGTTGTTAGGAATCTGAATTCTGAACTTTATTGGGTAAGTAGTATTTAATTTACTACTACTACTACTTACTAGCAATTTGTTTAGAAAGACCTGCATTCATTAAAAATAAATACCAACTATACTGTGGTGACATTAAGTGCTATAGGTTGTCTTTCATTTTAATTCCATTGCAAGGATCTCAAGTGCTATAGGTTGTCTTTCATTTTAATTCTATTGCAAGGATCGTTTGAGCACAACTTTCGGGCACGTGGGAAACAAATGTGGGTTTTCATACTTGGTCCTTCTCTATTTGAATCATCTTGATGAAAAAGGCCTTGGACAGAGGGCGGATTTCCTGTAAGCTACAAGAAAGAAGAAAAAAAAGAAATCAGTTCATGACATACACAGTAAGTTCATTTGCCACCACCTTTTTGGGTTGTTCTTTATCATTCAAATTAAAAACATCACAAGCGGCCGGTGTAGTTTATGTTCACCTAGTAAAGATCTTCCTGGCTTTCTTATAGCCTCCTGTGGTATAGGACCAACTCAGGTAGCAATCCTTTATCTCCATGGAAACAGCTGGAACACCACACCGCAGAGCAGCCTGGAAGGAGACGGAAGGAAAAAACTATCTGTGTGGGGAATGCTCTTTGGAGTGAGCAGATATCACACTGGACAAATCAGGTTTCATTAAAGGGTACAGTTGTGTTTACACAACGACTATACGACACGATACGTCTATAGTAGGCCTCCGGATAGAGAGTGTAAACCTGGAGCAAACAAAATGTGTATCTAAACACAGCCACAGAACAGGAGTCGTATGGAGTGTAAAAAAGACACTAACACAAGAAGAATTTGAACTGGAAGTTCAGAAAACTTGACATGAACCCACAGGGTATGGGTTTAAAGCTGTGAACAAACTGAAAAAGGTCAGAGATGGCTAACTGACCTTGAAGACAGCCTCTGTTTGTGCAGGACTCTGGTTGGCTGTGCTCCACTGGATCTGTAGCTTCCAGAGTGTCAGACTCTCCTGTCAGAGTGAGACAACAAAGATTTGGTTTAACAACTGATTATCTTAAAATGGAAGAGTTGCATCCAATCTGAGCAGTCTGCATCAACTCTTCATTTCATACACTAAACAAATAGTAGTTGAAACTCTTACAAAATAATTAACCTTACTTTCCATCTAATTTTTTTACATATCTTATTTTTACTATTTACTGTATCTTCCAGACTATACATTTTCACGTTTGTTATTTTCACACTGACAGCCGCTAGAGGGCACTCTAGCTGGCTGGTACGTGTCTTTTTATTCTTCATTATGCATATTTTGGCTGGTGTGACTTATAGTCCGGGAAATACGGCACTATAATGTGAACATACTTTATAGATAGATTGTATGATGGTGTACTGATTAAATGCATGTAGCTGTATGGCACCATATTTAATTCTTACAGTATGTGACCAGTACTACACAATATGTAGATGTGTATACATTTTATTTTTTTATTGTAATGGCTCATGATCGACCTGCAGTCCCTTTGTGATCTACTGGTAGATCCTTATCTACGTATTCAACAGGCCCGCTTTGGTGCATTGATACATACAAAACATTGGAGAAGAGAAAATGTAGGCCAAGGAAATGACGGCAGCACACCACAGTGGTGCTCCACGCATGCGTACATACCTTGGGATTTATATGTTTCAGTGCCTCCTGGAGTAGACTGCCAACGTTATCACTGCCCAGCTCCATTAGTGTCTGCAGACTGAGGTTCCACACCGACACTGACTGACTGAAGCGTTGCATGGCCGCCATGGCAACCCTCTCTGCTCCCTCAGCGTCTCCAGATGAGAGCAGGATCTGAAGCTGGTCACAGGTGAACAACATGTTCACATTTATCATACCACAGATGACATATACTGCAACACGGCGCCCTCTACCTTCAAGAACTTAGACATTTGACTCTCAGGTATGAACAGTGTCTATCTTATTATGAGGTAAAACACCTGAAATGTGTTCAATGTCACACATACTATGTTTTAAGACAAAGTTCAACTCGTCAATTTGTATATCCTGTTAGTATGTTTCAACCTAACAACTGTATTGTACTTTATTTATGTTATTGATTATCATGGGCCTAGATTTGATCCAAATCCAAATCTCAAACTAAATATCGTAACAACATTATGGTTCCCTGTGACAAAGTGAATGAATTTGTCTCACCCAGTTCTTATAATAATCTTCTTTCAACAGTGTGGAGTCATGAGCACGCTGCAGCACTGCCAACAGCCTGGCCTTCCTCTGTCAAAGTAAAACCACACAAGGTAAAACTTCCACAGTTCATACCGTACCTCTTACAGTGATACAATGCATTTTTCTTACCTTTTCCTTTAGTTCCTCGACATTTGTCTTTCTTTTCAGCCTTTCCAAACAGAACACCACGTAGCAGGTCCACATGGGTTCTGAGACAAAAATTAGTTCATGCAGTAAAACTAACCATAATTGAGATTAAGCAGATTTCTGCCATACATATAGAAATGACACCAATTATATTATGGTACATGTTGCTAAGCAGCAGCAAACAGGGATGATTTATTACTGAGAGAATTGGTGTAGGTTTTTTGAAATACTAAAAAATAGTCTGTGCAGAAGTGAGGTCCAAAATGAATTAGTCCTTAGAGAAATGGTCCAAACATCCATAAGCGTGTGTTCTCAGTGTATGCACGTATAAAGTAGTACCACTGTTAAGGCTTTTGATGCCCTCCTCATAGACCTGGGAACATCGCTCCTCTGTTCGGATCATATCCGAGGCTCGGCCTTTGGCCGTCTGCAGTTCCTCCCCAGCACTGGGAGCCTCCAGCTCCCTTCTGGCCATAAAATCCCACGTCAGAGCTTCTTCTGTGTA